GTTAAATGAGAATTATAATAATAATAACAAGAAAAATTAGCGGTACTTTTTCTCGACTTTTAATATCCTCGTCAGCTGGGTTATATTATCAGCCAATTAAGCCATCATATAATATAATTTTGAATCAACCATCAAGGCTAGATAGAAAACATTGTTCTGTTTATGAGCGTAATTGGAAAACCCAAATTGATATTAAAAAGGTAACAACATTAACATTTCCTCCTTTACTGTTGTGCAATAACTTTTAAGGAATGTAGGGCTAAATGTGATTATGTTAATTTTTTAGATGACTTTGCCTCTTGAAGTTTTTTAATTAGCTGATGATATTAATATGTGAAAGTATATAGGTATATTTTTTTATATGCTCAGTTATAAACATTGTATACATATGTATCTATACTCTGATGGCACACTGTCTATTCATTATGCTAAGTTACCCCTGTGGTCCAAGTTTTAGCTCCTTAGGGTCACATAAGGCTGAATATACAAGTAACTAATAAACAGACCGACAGGCAACTAACGTTCTTCGTAAGGCAGTCACACACATACACACACACACACACACACACACACACTCACACACACACACACACACACACACACTCACACACACACACACACACACACACACACACACACATATATATATATATATATATATATATATATATATATATATATATATATACATAAAGGAAAACAGCCACGGTAAAAAATGAAAATAAATCGTAACGTTTCGACCTCTTCACAAATTCCTCTTGAGACCAACAATAAACCGAAATTGATACATAACTGTGTATATATATATATATATATATATATATATATATATATATATATATATATATATGTATATATATATATATATATATATATATATATATATATATACATATATATTTCCATACACACACACACACACACACACACACACACACACACATATATATATATATATATATATATATATATATATATATATATATATATATATATATATTTATATATATATATACATATATATATATATATATATATATATATATATATATATATATATATATATATATATATATATATAAATACACACACACATACATACACACTTATATATGTATATACATATATATATGTATACACACACATATGTGTGTGTGTGTGTATATTTAATAGATAGTCGTGTGTGTATGTGTGTAACTAGAAACCGATCGTCAGGTCCATTACTGACATTACACATAACAAAAGAATAAAGACGGTACATGTCAAGAATAACCGAGAAATTGCCTTCATAAAACAGGTCAGGAGATGTTATGAGCTCCCTTACACCATGAACAGCAAACACGGTCTATAAGTCACACGCTTGGTTCATCATTTAATACTTTTCGCTTGTGTGGATTTCCTGTACTCTCTCTTCCATTTCGGTTTCCTCAACAAACTCACAAACGTCCTTTCTTCTCTCAACTGTCAAAATAATTATTATCATTATTTCTGTCAGTGCCAGTATGTCTTGGATATGGAGAACCATTTGGTTTGATTTGATTTCACCATTTTTATTTAAAGAAAGCGAAATGAATAATTAGAACTGACAAATATTCAGTAAGCTATAACTGTCTTACAGCAAAATTTTGATTTATTTCTTACTGTTGATTTGTGATATGAGGCAAGATTTTAAAAATAGTTTCTGTTAATTTCGTTCATAAAAACTAGGGTTGTACTTAAGAAATATGAAATAACTGTGCCAATTAATCTAGTGCGTGTGTGTGTGTCTGAGAGAGAGAGAGAGAGAGAGAGAGAGAGAGAGAGAGAGAGAGAGAGAGAGAGAGAGAGAGAGAGAGAGAGAAAGAGAGAGAGAGAGAGGGGGGGGGGAGAGAGAGAGGGGGGGGGAGGGAGAGAGAAAGAGAGACAGAGGCAGAATTAGAAGAGTAGAACAGTGGACAGAAGTATACGGTGGAGCTGATAATGAATTAACCCTAACTCGAAATCGACAAGTTAAACGTTTTTACCAAGTCTCAAGGTCATTTGACGATCCTTGATAATAAACGCAAGAGAGAGAGAGAGAGAGCGAGCGAGCGAGCGAGCGAGAGAGAGAGAGAGAGAGAGAGATATGGATAGATATACATATAATGGCATCGGTCAAGCCATAGAAATGCAACAGGACAACAGAAAGAAGCTAACGGACAAGGGAATAGCTTGCAAAAAGGCTACTGGCTAGACCAATAATATAATGGCGAAACTCGTATAGCACAGGACCAGAATGAGATGAAAATATTAGTAGAAGCCTGCCTACTTCCTGCATATAAATATATATATATATATATATATATATATATATATATATATATATATATATATATATATATATAAATACAGGGAGTAGACAGGCCTCTTCAAATATTTCCCTTTCATACATACATATATATATATATATATATATATATATATATATATATATATATATATATATATATATATATATATAATATGCGTGCGTGTATATGTATGAATAAATATCGCCCCCTCCCCCCTGCCCCCACACACACGCATATATATGTATATGCATATGTGTATGTATATATATATATATATATATATATATATATATATATATATATATATACATACATATATATACACACAAACACACACATTTGTATATATGTGTTATATACGCATATATATATACGCATATGTGTGTGTACAAATATCTCTCTCAATATACATAGACAGTTTGGGAGGGACTCAGTGAGATCGTAAAACGTGTATAGATATCTTATCATTCTCTAAATGTTTCTATTAATAGACTACTTCCTAATGCATTTGTAGTGGAAATAAAGCTCAAATGCTAATGTGTGTTTACTTTGCATGGAGAAGTTTGGAACTACTAAAAAAATAATAATGTTCAGCAACAATCGATAAAAAATCATTTAAACATAAATCAGCATTCTTAATCTTCATTACTACCGTAACAACTATAGCCTGCAGGACCAACAGACATACGTAGGGCGGAAGTACAATACAAGCGGTAATAACAATGATATTTTTTTCCCTTTTATAATACCACAAGTAGTTCAGGATGTCTCCTGGCCAAATAGTATTTCTACCTCCGTACTTAGTCTGTTGAACCCGTGCTGATTTCAGAGTAGCCAAACTGTATATAAAGCCGTGATTAGTCCGTTAAGACTTATCGTCAGCGGAAGATAAACTAGGGAGGATGTTGCATAATACTTAAATTCAATTATTAAGCCCGATCTAGTACATTCCGTTTAGTTTTCTGAGAATACGTAAGCACAATAGACTAAGGACTTACAAGTATTCTTGACAATATAGCTATGCAAATAAACACACATTTGTCTGTTTAAGATAATACATTTTACAAAATAAACATATCACTAGTATTCATTGTAAGAGAAAAAACAAAAGTAAACCAAAATTCGTGAATGGGCGATTTTCAGGGGAGACAACTATGGTATAACTACATTTCAGGGGAAACTATAATATTACACACCCACACACAGACACACACACACACACGCACACACACACACACACACACACACACACACACACACACACACACACATACACACACACACATACACACATATATGCGTCTCTGTGTATGTGTATGTTCAAACACAGTAATATGTGCAGAAAGATGAAACGAAATGAAAAGAAATTGAACGTAATATAATTGAACGAGCACCACCCGTCTCACCCGTTTACCCACTTCTTTGATTTACGAATTATTTTACGTTATCTTATTTTGCTGTTACTAATGTTAAAAAACATTATAAAAATTATGTTTATGATAAAAATAACACCATCGATTTTCATAGCACTAGTGAAAAATACGTTTTTCCCGCCATTTCAAATCAAGCGCTAGCAGAGACATCTATAAGCAGACATTTCACGAAAAACATAAAAAGTGGGCACAGCATTTTCCCCATTTTTTGTTCATTTTCCCCGGCACCATTGGGTTAAGTGTTCAAATCGCGCTTGAACAAAAATATAGGTTACAATGTATATATCCTTAAATGTCAGTATCCTAACGTCTGGAATAAATTGCTGAAGACCTGTGTAATGTCTGATGAGCAATTACCCAGACACTCGGAAAGCCTTTCGGGTACCAAACACCTGGTGATTCTGTTGAGTCTTTCTATCCAGTGTGACACATTTTGAAGAGTTGACGTAGTGTGTGACCGCTACCATCCATTCCACTTCAAACTATGATTCTAAAATATAAAATTGTTATATAAACTCTAATTGCATTGGGGAAAAGAAGCATTTTCCTGAATTTGGTTTCCTTTAACCTTGAAATTGAAAGTTCAGGATGGTATCCATCTGCACCTTCTTTCTCCTCTATAATTGGTTAATCTGTGATGGATGTCTTTTGTTAACAGGTAATACCCTCAACATATTAAAAAATCAACTTTGACCGGGCGATTACAGGGTTATCAAGAAAAGGTTAGTCTACGAAATGTTCAATGGCATCTTCAGGAGATAAGAAGGAGGATGCATGGGAGGGCACACCGTTATCACAGCTTCGCATACAATCTCAACATCATTGCCAGCTGTTACGAAGTTTCTCTTCTTTGTTGTTATTTATAGGAACACATTTGTGATGGCCTTGGCAAATCCATTATTTTACTATGATTTAGATATTAAGAAATAGGTTATTAAGAAATTATTTTAGAACATCAACAGATATGATAATTTTACCAAGTCAATATATATTTTTTTTATATTCAAAGGCGACATTCTTCGGAAAGGAAGCTGAAGTTCTAGCCAACATGCGGACGTGACAAAGGGTTCATGTTTGGGAGCTGGGAATAGATATTACATGCCAAATTTTACAAAATTATATTACTCTCAATTACTAATTAATATTACTCTATGAATTCAGTATGTGGAGTGTAGTTACATTCTATGGTTATCAACAAGATCTGACAATAACACTTAAATATACAGTTATTACATAAATAATGAATATTAAGATACGC